CATTCAGAAAAACTCGCAGTCGTTACAAGAAAGTTCTTGAAAATGCAAAGTGCCTGCTATGTACAAGCAGTCAAGGTTGCAAACAAACAAATTGGGATCCCAAGAGTTATAGAAGATCACCAACCAGATTATGAATAGAAGCAAAGCATCTGTGCCCACTATTTTAAATGGCCCTGAGGACATATCTTCCTCGTCAGATAAGGTGAAGTTCTTTGCCTCAATCTTTGCCTTTAAATCAACATTAGAAGACACTGGACATACCCTTTCTCACTCACCCTCTCTCAATGAGCACAATCTCAGTAGCGTTTTTATTACAGGCCAGGAAGTCTTAAGACTTATCAAAAGTCTTGACCCTAAGAACACCACTGGCCCACAGTTGTTGTCCTTAAGGACATAAACCCAGAACTATCCCCATTCTTAGTAAAATTATCTAACTGCTGTCTAAAGGAGAAATCCTTCCCAAGTTTGTGGAAGATGTCAAGTGTGTGCCTGGATTTCAAGAATGTGAGTGAGCGCGCATCCCCCTCTCAGTATAGACCTGTCAGTCTCCTCAGTGTCATTAGAAAACTTTGAAGCTATAACCAACAAGAAGGTTGTTGATCACCTGAAACTCTTGAGGAAAAAGCAGTATGGATTTTGATCGGCCTGATCCAGTGCTGGATAACAAACACATTTCAATTACTATAGCACTAGATATTTCAAAGGCCTTTGACAAAATATGGTACAAAGGATTGCCGCTCAAGCGCTGTCACTATGGAATCACTGGAAGAGTCTTTTCAATAATAAAATCCTTCTTAATAATAAAATCCTTCTTCTGAAAAAATTTGGTAGGTAGTTGCATTAATGGTCAGCCCTTCAATGCTCTAGCAATCAAAACAGGTATCTTCTTGGGTCAACTTTCTTTTTAATTTACATAAATGATCTGCAATCATTTGTGCAATATCTATACTGATGATACAACAGTATACAGGTGCACAATCGCCACAGTGCACATCCAAAAGTCTAGATGACCAGAGATTGGCAGATGATCTTACTTCTGATCTAGCTCCAAAACCTCAGCTCTAATATAAAACTTTGAAAATTGGAAACTTAGGAAAAACATAGATAGATAGATAGATATTGAATCGGCTGAAATAAATAGATAAATAGGTAGATAGATAGAAGCAGAATGAGATAGATAGATAGATAGATAGATAGATAGATAGATAGATAGATAGATAGATAGATAGATAGATAGATAGATATTGAATCGGCTGAAATAGATAGACAGATAGATATTGAATCGGCTGAGATAGATAGATAGATAGATATTGAATTGGCTGAAATAGATAGATAGATAGATAGATAGATACTGAATAGAATGACATGAATAGATACTGAAACAAATGAGACAGATAAATACTGAAAAAAATGTGATAGATAGATAGATATTGAAAAGAATGAGATAGATAGATAGATAGATAGATAGATAGATAGATAGATCTTCAGCTTAGCAGTTACAGTAGCAGTCAGTTTCTAAGAAGCTCTTTTTTTATATAAAGTTGGATCAAAACAAGCATAAAATGTTTCCTTTCTTTAAGTACAAAACAATTACTTTATAGAGTCATTTCATATTCAAGATTATAATGACACATTGACACAATAAAATGAAAACAATCTATTGAAATTACTTAATTATTTAATATTGAGAAAATCAGTAACATTTATACAAGGAAACTAAGACATATTGATAGATACTGAAAAGAATTAGATAGATAGATAGATACTGAAAAGAATGTGATAGATAGATAGATAGATAGATGCTGAAAAGAATGTGATAGATAGATAGATAGATAGATAGATAGATAGATAGATACTGAAAAGAATGTGATAGATAGATAGATAGATAGATAGATACTGAAAAGAATGTGATAGATAGATAGATAGATAGATAGATAGATAGATAGATAGATACTGAAAAGAATGAGATAGATAGATAGATAGATATTCAGCTTAGAATTTATAGTAGCAGTCTATTCCTAAGAAGCTCTTTTTTTTATAAAGTTGGATCAAAACATGCATTAAATGTTTCCTTCTGGATCTTACCAAGTACAAAACAATTACTAAAGAGTCATTTCCTATTCAAGATTATAATGACACACTGACACAATAAAATGAAAACAATCTATTGAAATTACTTAATTATTTAGTATTGAGAAAATCAGTGACTTTTATACAGGGAAACAAATTTTTTGAAACTTTTTTTCAGTGTGATAGTTTGGCTTCATAAATTCACCTATTAGGCTGAATCATAAATAATTTCCGTTTTTGTTTATCAACTTTATTCTTCAAAAAATAAAATACAATTACATTTTATATTTTATTAATTTATATATTCACTATTATTTGAATTGAATTGTTGCCCCTTATATAGGCAGCTTTTTGATACCTTTTTTTTTTTTTCGTCGTTTGAGTAAAAAAATTCATCAGGTTTGAATTTGAAAAAGTTTTTAACAGATTCTTGAGTCTAGATGTCATTAAACAACGTTTTCTCCATCAAAGTGTTTTGCAGTGATCAAAAAAACGTAATAATCGGTTGGTGCAAGGTCTAGTGAATATGTCGGATGAGTTCCAAATTTTTTCCCTGTGTTCTTCTTATACGGCCTTGAGTTGCCATATGTGAAGAACAGTTTTTCCTAGTGGCGAGTGCAGGGTTCTTTCGACCAAAATTTTATGGACACGTAGCTACTGGAACTGGAGTTAAAAAAAAAAAAAATGTTCATTTAAGTGTTTCATTGCGTTTTAAGAACTTTTAAATGACTAATACTCCCAACAATCCCACCACATTCATAACATTTATCTTTTTTTATTTCATGGAGCTCAGTTTTTGGGATCGTTTGTGGAGATTTTTTTTATCCTTGTGAAATGTTAAATCCGTTACCATTTTTTTTTTTTTTTTTGCGTTGAACATTGTCATAATTTAATTATTCGACTCCAGTTAATCAGCAAATGGTTGTTTAAAATTTCTAGTAAATTACTTCAAAGGAGTAAAAAAAAAAAGAAGCTGAGTCATAAGTTATTTCCATTTTTTGAGGAACCAATTGAAATGAATCTATCATCATACGTGGCAGTTATAATTTGGAGTACGCTAAAAAAATAAAAAACTGTCCAGCTTAATGTGTAATGCAATAAGAAAGATATTTAATTTAATAATAAATTTATGATTACAGTAACTTCTTCGGTTATTGGGCATTTTTATGGGTAGAGGTTGAAGAAAAAGAAATTCCGGATAATTGAATACCTATTAAAAAAAACTTTTCTAATAGGTACTCAATTATCCGGAATTTCTGGGCATCCGTTTTTTAAAAAAGGGTGCCCAGAAAACTCGGTAATTTTGCCAAGGTAGGAAAATTAGGTAACCTATGAAATAAAAGTCGATTGAAAATTGATTTTTAGGGTCGCTCTGGAGTGGAGATTTGGGGGCTGAGCTCCCTCCCCTATATTTTTGAAACAGAAATGAGACTAATAGTTTTTGCTTCTTTAAAAAGAAGAAATATCTTAAACTTAATTTATTATTACTTTTTTTTTTTATATTAAAATAATAATTTGAAAAGAAGATACAAGAACTCAACTTATAAATCAATTTTTTTATTTGCTTAAAAGCAATAGTAATTAAAATTAAATAAATTAAATACTTATTCAAAAATATTGGAATCGGGGCTTAGACCCCCACCCAGAAAGTACGACGTTGGAATTGTTGCAGTGGGGTTTTCGTTTTATCCGGAGTGGAACCTATGATTTTTTTTAGTTACTTATTTAAAACGTATGGAGATGTTCTCTAGCCCCATCCAGAAAGTATGGCCTTGATATTGTTGTAGTGGGGTTTTATCTCTAGACCCCCTCACCCATAGTTAATAAAACTTTAAAAAAAATATTGGGTAAGAAGGAGGCCTATACCCATCTTCTGCAAGTACATCCCTGGTTTTGTTGTTGTAGTGGGGTTTTATCTGGATCCCACGACTTTCAGTTATTTTTCCAAATTTTCCATTACCGAATCTTCCGTTATCGAATTTTCATAAATTCTGAAAAAAGGATTGAAAAAAAAAAGAAGACATTTTTTGAAAAAAATTCAACATTTACAATACATTATTAAATAACATTTTCAAACGCTGTGTTCAAGGTTTTATCCAGTTTATTTTTTTATAAAAAAAAAAAAAAAATGTGTTAATTTTTGTCGGTTTCCGGCTGGCTTCACGTTTTTCTGCTGCTAACTCCCGAAGCTGGATTTAAAAGATAAAAAAGAGAAGGGTAGCTTCTGGTTGAAAGTGCAACCAACTTAAACATTTGTCAATTTTTATCAAACATTGTGTATGATTTTATATTCTCAAAACAATTGTTCGAGATTGAAATATTAGAATGGGTTCATAGTTCGAATAATTGAAAAATAGTTGGATGATTTCAATATTTCTCTTCGTTTCACGTCTGGATAATCAAACAAACTAAAACTCAAGTAGGGCGGGGGTCTGTAGGGCCTAGTCCTGAGAAATGTAAGAAAGGAAGACATTTTAAAAAGAGATGAAATATGAAATAAACACTTTATTTAAATTAAAAAAAAAAAAACAAATAAAAAAAACTAAACTTTTATTTCACACTTTGATGGATGCCCTATTGATATGGACGCCCTATTGATATGGACGCCCAGGGACGTCACACACTCTGACCCCCCACTTCTGCATGCTACTGTCCATCTATCCAATTTCTCTCATATCATGGCATGTTTTTCAGCATTTCCTAATGGTATTGCATATTAAGATAATCTCTCCAGGCTGGTATTATCAAGGTCACCTCCTTGACAAATCAGACAGTAAGATTCAAATGCAGGTCTAATACTTTAACTCCTTGACCACAAATTGTACAAGCTCAAACATCTAATAATATGCATACATAAAATATATACCAGGTGTAACAGCAAAATTGTCCAATGATTAGATTAAGCTCTGAACGGTTGTATCTTAGAAATGATTAAAGATATCTTACTGGAATTTTTTAGTGCTTTTATAACACTATTAGACTCTACTTTGTGCAATAGGAATGTATAATTACTCTCTAAGCTTAACAGAAGTATCATGATGAAATTGATCATATACAAAGAAATGACATCTTCATCATTAATTATAAGCTAAGAACTAGAAGCTCATGAAGTAGTGAAATAATGTTCAAATATATATATATATATATATATATATATATATATATATTATTCCATGATCATTTTCCAACTTATTCAAGATGATCTTCACCCTCTCTAACCTTCTAACTTTCTGTCCTGGAGTGCCTCACACATTTCACATACAGTTTTTTTCACTGCTCTTTTGACTGTCAAACTCCTCTCTCATGTGCCAAACATCTTATGAATTGAGTTGGAGTCATCTTATAAATTGAGTTGGATCTTTTCAAATTGATCTCCTTAGCTCTAAGTTGAAATGATGATCCCTCTTCCTGTTGTGACCTCCTGATCCAGTTTACCTCTCCACTGTTCCCTCTTTTTTAAACTTATTCACTGTTCTCTGATAGTTCTTGAATGGTCTTTGAAGATGGAAGTCAGAGTATGAGTGTTGGTACCATTACTGAAGGCCTAATGATATTTTTCCTCAAAACCATTGCTCCATTGAGAAGACAGTGGATCTGATACAAAACAATTTTTGACCTGCTCTCTTTTTATCTGAATAACTCAAAGGGTTTTTCAGTGATTCTTACAAAAAATGGTGTCAAGATGGCTAAACGTCTTAAAACTTGAAAAAAAGAAACTCAATTAGTGGTTTTTAGATATTAAACTTTTTGTGGGATGGATAATTATGCTGTTACATGATTTGGACAATTTTGCTGTTACACCTGGTATATATCCATCATATTTTTTAAAAAGAAAATAATTATAATATTTTGCTCTACTGTTTGTATCGATCACAGTTATTTTTTTTTTAATAAAAATAACTGCTAAGAAAACTGGATTATAAATCTTACTGTTCTTTCTTATTATTTTAATATATGTATATGCATATATATGTATCATACATTATGAAATGGACAAAGTCCGACAATTATTTTAAGACATTTTTATGTATATAGATTCTTTTTTTATAGATACAAATATTTAAGTAAATGCTCTGTTTATAATAAACAGTATTACCAACATTTACCGGCCTGAATGTCTGAGAAATTGTCATAGAAAATATGCGTCCTCTGACAGGAATCGAACCTGTATCCTATACGGAACCGTCATATAGCCTGACGTGCTTTTACCAATTTCGCCACAGAGGAGTGTCTCAGTTAGCAAGGTCAATTTTACTGTTTTTAAACTACAATTTTCCATGATTTCCTCATGTACATTCATATCTACTCTATGCATATACAAATGTAGACAGATGACGTCATACATTATGAAATGGACAAAGTCTGACAATTATTTTAAGATGTCATATAGCCTGATGTGCTTTTACCAATTTTGCCACAGTGGAGCGTCTCGGTTAGCAAGGTCGATTTTACTATTTTTTAAACTACAATTTTCCATGATTTTCTCACATACATACTTATGAATGATGGTTCCCTATAGGATACAGTTTCAATTCCTGTCGGAGGACGCATATTTTTTATGACAATTTCTCGGACATTCAGGTCGGTAAATGTTGTTTAATACTGTGTATTATAAACAAAGCATTTACTTAAATATTTGTATCGATAAAAAAGAATATATAAATATATATGTATGTATATATTGATATATATTTATAAATGGATGTGTGGCCATGTGGTTAGAATGTTAACATTCTGATCATGAGACCCTCAACATGGCAGATTTGTCAATAATAATAATTATAATAAATTGATTATAATAATAATTATAATAATAGATAACAGTCTGGGGATATTATCCCAGAATGCAGCAGCAAGTGCAGGAAAGTGCCTGAAAATTATACTACAGGTTGGCATGAGCCTTGTGGGTGAAATTGGGTAGACAAAACTGTTTGGAAGGCAACAATGGTTGTGCTAGCTTGAAGTCAGTATTTATCATGACTGAAGTTTTTGGCTTTGTTCAGTAACTGATCATGCCTGTGGATGTGCATTTTCCCAGAAACAGTAACTAAAATTCCTTCAACATAGATGCATTATGAGCCACAGGTTGGCTCTGGGGAGATTGAAACCTGAGTTTCCCAATGGTATTGCCATAAAAATGAATAAGTAAGTCAACTGGAATTTGAACTCAGCTCACTAATTTCTTATTCGAAGCTGCTAACCATTGCAGCACCTGCACATTCACATTTGTATATATTTGTTTATAAAAATGAGGCAATAGTTATGCATATATGTATACACAAAGTTCTCAGATTAGACGCTACTTGAGTGGTATAGGTCAAAACCAAGAAGCTCTAATTTAGAGGTATATTCATTGATGACAATGCTCCTTCACATTCTGCAAAACTGACTATTGCCCACCATGCTAGAAAAAGTTTTAAAACAATTAATTACTGTAAGCACCTATCCACACAAAGCCCCTCTAGGTTTTAATCCAGTCCCAAAAACATGGCCCATTATTAGCAAAGATGCATATGAAACTGGAAACAATATTCAAACAAAGAAGATCACTGGGAAACAACAAAAAATGATGGAAGTAGAAAAGTTATCAAAATCAATGAATGAAAAATTGATGAAGGTTATAGAATGTGATGGGGTCACTGTAACAAAATAATATTCAAGTATATCTGGTATATATATATATATATATATATATATATGGACATTGAAGTCAACACCCAGAGGTGACGGTCTGTTTCATGCTTGAACGCAATCATCAGACCTGACAATTGCATTTCAAGCATGTAACAAACTCTTGCTTCTGGGTGTTAACTTCAATGTCCACTTTTATATTTTTCTATCACTTTAACCCATAAATATAGCATACCTTAAAACTATTTTGTCATATATATATATATACATATATGTGTGTGTGTGTGTATCAGGTCTGTTGCTTTCTGCAATGTTATTGATCCTGACCTGGCATCTTTGCTTCAGTAACTTTCTCACTGTTGTAACATAGCCTCCCTATTCCTTTTCTATAAATATTTTCATGATAATTGTCCTGATGAGCTTTCCTTTTTGGTATTTCAGCTTTAAGAATTTAAGTGCAATACTAGATTGGCAGTTAGTTCTCATCATCTTATAGTTGAAATTGCTAGATGTAACCATAAGTTCTATGCTAACAGTTTCCTCTCCCACACTTCTTGGTTTTGGAACTCTCTTCTGGCCTTCCATTCAACTTCAATCTTCAAAAATTTAAATACAATGTCAATTGTTATCTTCTGTCTTCTTAATTCCTGTTCTTTTGTTGTTCTTACTCCTTAATAATGTTTTTCTTTTTCTCATATTGTTTCACACTCAGTAACCTCTTGCATCGTAGTGGCTTTATTAGCTTGCTTGGGGTGAAATGATTAAAAAAATGGGATATTGTGTTAATGAAATATATGTTTCAGTAGCCTTTATCTTTTGAGTCTAATTATAAGTAATATTTTTTGTTGCACATAATTTGTTTGCATAATAAAACCTGAAACCTTCAAAACAAACTACTACAAATATTTTCAATAAGCTTATATATTATACACTGAAACTCACTTTATATATTGCTCATATAAATATAGCCTGAAAATGTTACCAAAACTGGTTAATGCTGTGAAAGGTTGAGGAGATGAGAATTTGGCCATGTAAAAATATTTAACTCATCCACAAAGAAAAAGGAAAGGAAAAAAGAAAGCAGGTAAAGTGTATTGTATCTTGTGTTTTTGGGATAACAGGGAGAAATAAATAAGGAAGTCAAACTTGTAGGTAAGTCATGAAATAGAAGGTTTACTACACAAAAGTACACTTAGCAATGGACTTAAAGCTAACTCTTCTCAACTCTGCTTATTTACAAAAACGGATGATTCCATTCATTTATGTCCTATATGATGAAGTGTAAATCCAATTTTTTTATAATCCAGAAATGGTTGCAATGATTTACAAATATTGAATTTTGTTTTCTTTTTCAGTCCAATTTCTTTTTTTGAGGACAGTTTTCATCTGACAGTAAATAGACTAGAAACAGGAAAATTTTTTCTGACTCCTCTTACTACTTCAACTCTGACTGTTACACCTAACTGCTGCTAGGGCTCCACGCAGAAGGCCTCCTTGATATGTTGTCCTTTATTCATTTTTGGCCCATGGACATAGTAATAAACACAAAATGCATGCAAATATTTAACATGGAAATGCTTGGCTCCTTTTGAATGTGTACTACTTGAAGAGTAAAACATTTCTAATAACTTAACTATACATCATTAAAAGCTGAAACTTTGTAGATTACTAGCTTACTAATGTGTTTTAAATGCTGTACACATTTTATCTTTCTCCATGAATTATGAGTTAGTTAAATTTAATTTTCAATTGTTAACCCACTCAGTGGGGATATCATATCTTCTCAATAATTTTCAATAAAAAAAGGTTTTTATTTTGTCAGAAATTATGTTGTGTCTGCTATAATCTGAATGTGTCTAATTTATTCAATTTACCAACTTATAGATTTTTCAAGATTTTCTTCACAAACACTACATTGTCAAAACATTGACTTGCATAATAAAATCTGACATGGTGCCTTTATCTCTGTACATATATTCTAGTTATTTCCAGTAATATAAATAAATACAAATGTCCATACAATCTAGTGGAGATAAACTAGTAAAAAGTGTAGGTTCAATAAAACTTGGTAAACTAAAAACATCACAATGAAATATTATTTTCATATATTGTACATTTATGCATGGTAGCAGTAGTAGTAGTAATAAGGAAATAAAAAGGTTTTCCTACATAAAAGAAAAATGTATTGTATTATTCGCTCTTAACTTGCTAGACCTAAGTGATGATTATTTTCATAAGGCCAAGTGGGGGAAAAATGCAGGCTAGAAGGAAAATATTTATTACCTCCCCTCGTTTTCATTTTTAATGTATTTTTTAAAATATTTTTTCTTAATTCCCAGTTAAAGTATGGGAAAAGGAAGACATACAACCTCACATACGGGACAATGTCAGGACGTGTCTAGTTAGTCTGTGTTAAAAGTCTCCTCTCCAAAACGGGGTAATGGTCGGGGGGGGATAGAAAAGAAAGATTATTTTCTTTCTTCTTCTTCATCATCATCTCGTCTTTTTTTCTTTCTTTATTTACTTCGTGTTTCCTATCCACATTTTTCTAAGCGGCGACAAAAAATGTAAGTAAATCTATGATAATAACACGAAAAATAATAATACCTCCCCACCGACTAGACTGTTTTCTGTGTATTACTACTACTACTAGTAGTAATAATGGCTCAAAAATACATTGTGTATGGAAATGGACATCTGTGGTAGTTAGAGGGAGTAAGAGAGGGAAAGGAGCTAACATTAATGTCAAACACAGGGTGAGTTATTCCTCCGCTCACCGACTATAGTAATTATAGTGTGTGCTATGTAGCACACACTTCACTACAGAACAAGACACATTTTAGACAAGGAACGAACGTATTTTAATGTCTAGTCTGATGATACTGGAGTCCTTTTCCTTCATTTATTGAACGAACCCAGCTCCTTATATTATCTTCTGAAAATAACCTCTCCCTTTTGTCCAGGTGAGTATTTTTTTATTTTACTTTTTAAATGTATCCCTCCTTCCTTGATTACTTTTTTTTTTTTTACACATAAAAATACGTGGGGTTAAAAAATAAGTAAAAATGTGTTTGGTTTATAATTGCTGCTATTTTTAAGTTGGAGCTAGTGGTTGTTTTATTAATAATGATGGTGTGATCAATCGTTATTGCAAGACCTTTTTTTTCTTCCCTTATGTATATTTTGTATACTAAATCGTTTTCTTTGTACTAAAAAAAATGTGGCTAGCTTTTTCTTGTCTGTGTTGTAATAATTCTACTGTTTTAAAGTAACGTGTGTTCAGCATATGAGAATTGCTTTTGCTTACCATTCAGGTAATTAACTAACACTAACACTTTACAATAGTATTTATTATTATTATTGGTATATTGGACATAGCTTTTTTAGTAAACTGTTTCGTAAGAAGCTTAGGGATTATTTAAAAATAAAGTGCTATTTTATTTCTTAATTTTGATATTAATTTTTATAAGCAATATGCAAAAAGATTTTTCATTTATCCAATTTTTTTTTTTTTTTTTTTTTTTTTACAATTACTGCTTTAAAAACTCCGGATAAAATTATTTTCTTATTTTTAAAATTAAGTGCATATGTCTGCTTGCTTAGTTAAATTACTATATAAACAATAAGGATTTATTTTTTTTATTGCATATTCTTCATCTGGGTTTATTTAAAGAAAAAAAAACCTACGAATTCTATATTAGAAAAATATTGTTGTCTATGTACAACAACTGTAAATCATTTTAGGAAGAAGAGTAATTTGTTTTTTTGTTTGTTTTTTTTTACATATATTTCAATTCCACTTCTTAAAAATTGTTTTTGTACTTATTTTCCTCTATAATCTATAATTAATTTATTGTTTATCGTAACTGACAGACTCTCCAAAAATGTATTTGAATATTGAAATGAAACCATAAATCACTCACCAAGAAGAAAAAAAAAATCTATAAAAAAAGATTTGTTTGATTTTGAATAAAGGGTGTTTTTTGTTTTTTTACATCAACATCAGTTTCCCTTCTTCACTCGATCGCAATACATATACAGGTTGTTCTAAAAATACAAGTTTTTATGTATATTTCGAAAAGATAGGCCAGGATATATAACACAATACTGTAGATCTCTTACAAACCAACAACACCTTGCCTGATCCCGACAAGAGCAAATGAAATCTCTCACCTCATGGGGCCTATATAATTAGAAATTCTGTATTTAGCATTGTGATGTTTGCAAATCTATTTTGTTGTGCTTTTTAATTAATATTATTATTATTATTTTACTAAAAATCATTATTACTAACAGTTGTCCTGACCTGTCACCAATTAATCTTGACTCCTTTCTTTGTGAAACAAACAAAAAAAAAAAATTGTTTTTTTTTTTTTTTCATTACAAAAACAAAAAAAAATATTTAAAAATAATTTCATTTGTTTTTGGTCTGTGTTGTTTCATCTGATAAATTTTGATGGTCCATCATATTTTAAAATAGAAGTTTTTGTCCTTAATTTCTTTTTTCTTTTTTTCTAATTAAAAATATTTTAAACTACACTACTACACATTTACACTACAGTGACACACACTAAGTAAAAGGAAAAAAAAATAAGTGTCAGTTTTTATGTGTACACCGGTATACGATTTTGTTTTCTTTTTTTAACTCTAGCTGTTTAGTAAAAATATTTTTAGAGACCAAACATAATTTGTAAAGTTCTTTGACTGTGTATTATTTCCACTCAAAATCTTCAAATTTCTATGAAGTGAGGAGCTCACCTGATGTAAGGATGTGCCTTATTGATGACGATTTCGTTTCGTTTTACACAAAAACAGGTTTTTAACATTGAACTCTTAAGTTCATATTTTTCATTTTCCATAATGTCCACACAGTATAAAAGAGAGTGGCATTTTCAGGGTAGGGTTTTCTTTTTTAGATAGAGGGGAAAATATTCTAATTGATCTTTTTTTTTTTCTTTTTTTAATTATTCTAGTGAGTTCAAAGATTTTGCCAGAAAACAGTTTATCACTTCAGTCTTTCTTTACTCATACAAAAGTTCACAAAGTTTTATTGACGTAATAATCTTTGAACACTAAAAAAAACTATTTGTTGCGGTAATCGAATAATGAAAACAATTTAACCACTTGGTAAAGACTACGTAAAGAATTCCTGAATTCAGTCAGATTATTTGAGTTTGCTCTATGAAAAAAGCCTTGCTTAGTTAGTATTTTCATCAGATTTTACTAACATCTCAGCTGATTTATACAGGGTACAGCTGAAATACCTCCCACATAATGGTAAGAAGACATATTTTAGCGGCATTGGTGTTACTATCTCTTGTAATGTGGGAGGTATTTCTGCTGCAGCCTGTATCAGCTTATATAGTTCCCAAATGACTTTTAGTAATTAGTTAGAATTAAACGCTTGTAGATTTTACAAGTATTTAGAATCCTACTTTCATTCTTTAATTACACAGTTTACCTTTGGATCTTCATGAACCTGATTAAATTGTAAGTTAACTGAGATTGGATGTAGTCTAGGGCAGGATTTTTCAAACTGTAGGTCCTGACCCTTCAGTGGGTCGCGATATGGGTCATGACTAAAAAGAAAGAAAGAAAAAAATAAAAAATACGTAGTTGAGAGCAAAGTGCAGATAAACAACTCTAAAAATGTTGCACAGCACTCATAAATTGCTAGTTTTTCACCGAAATAAGCTATTTTATTTTTTAAATATAATTTATAGTCTGTTCTCATTGAGTTTTGTATCTTGTTCATCAAACGTGTTGCAGATTATTTACTTTACCTTTGTGTCGGAATTTTAAAAGTATTTTATTTTAGAATTTTCTAAAAATAATTTTATATTCATAGAAATTGATAATGCAATTCCAACACGTGCAGATTATAAGAAATATACATATAAATTGTTGATGCTAAATAAATGAACCTAGTGAACAGTTTGTCTTTGTTTTATTACACATAGGTAAATGGGTCGCAATGCAAAATGTGGTTCTTGTTGTGGGTTACAAAATGTTTGAGAAACACTGGTCTAGGGGAGGTAAAGCTATTTGTTTGTCAATTAGCACCAAAACTTTTCGTATTTGCCATACTTTAGGGCTTGTTTGTTACCAGATATTTTTATGCAGGATACGTAGCTATATGTAGAAATTTTGCATGTGATATATATTGATTATTTTTTACTCTACACTCATGCCAAAAACTTTCATTGGCACTCAGATAATATATGCAAGCTTAGACCTCTTCATATCAAATAGGGTTGCACTGATTAATTGGTTGATAAACAGTAATGATTCTCAATAAAGATTAGCAAAAAAGAAATTGAATGAAAAATTATCTAAATTCATTCCTGTCTAAGATTAATTGATGATTCTTAAGTCAGAAATAAATGATTTAATGAAGAAGGATGGCTGGATATGGAAACCGTTTTTAATCAACCAAAAAAAAAAAATGAAGGCCATAAATGACCAATTACTGGCTGATTAATTGGTGCAAACCCAATAACGCATGTTGTAAAATTGATTCTTGAATATCTTTGTGACTACCACATGTGCTTGTGCATAAGCTGACTTCATGTATAGTACCATCCCTGAATTGCACAAATTTTAACTACTCTGGTAAAAATTTTTACATGTGTATAGTGAAACTGGTCACCGAAATGCATGAGTTTTAAACTGGTCATAAAACCTCACGCTACTCAAGTATATATGGTATCTACCATAAATAAATAATAAATCTATTTTATGAATAATATTTGAATTAATTCCTTTTTTCTTTTCAATAGTGTCAAATTTGCTAAAATAAAATTTAGTGATAAATCATAAAATTTCACTGAAATGTTGCTCTGCTATTCATGTCTCTGGAAAACCCTTCATCTTTCAACACCAACAATTTGTTGTCACAATTTTTTTTTAGAGAAGCTAAAATGTTTTTCTTTTTTTTTTCTACTCACTTGGCACACTACTGAAGTTTTCCAGAAGATAGATAAGTATTAAATGGCTAACCCTTTTTGAACTTTTATTTGCTATATTTATTAACACAGTGCCAGATTTACATATGGGCTGCAGCTTAGGGATCTCAAGATCAGTCGGGGGTGGGGGGCTCCAACGGTCCTCTAGTCTTGGACCACTGATAAAACTAAAAAAAAAAAAGATTTATAAACAGATTGTCTATTTTCAGATTTAATAAAACTTCTTTGAACTAATTTATTACAGTTTCTAGGCCCCTCTAGTTGAAGGGGCTTTTCTAAATGTGATGGGGCCACATTTAGATTTTGATGCATCTTTTTTTTTTTTTTTTTTTTT